TCATCCTCACCCTCGTGGTCATGGAACTATTGCGGAGTTACCTCGACGGCGACGTGGCGCGACGGTGACGCGACGGTGACGCGACGGTGACGTGACGGTGAGCTAGGCTTGCACTCAAAGGAGCAAACTGCAGAAACATCTGCAGCCAGCCTGGCTGGCACGCAAGCGGCTGGAAACAGCAACGCTTGCAGCCAGTCGGGGCGGCACGCAAACGCGGGACAGCATCTGCAACCAAGCGGGCCGGCGCAAGCGGGTGGAGGAATCGCATCGCGCCATTTTGCGACAAAAAAAGCACGCCGATGGTCGGCGCAGCCTCAGCCTGAAGCTATTGCACATACATCCGCCTCATGCCGCAGTCCGCTGATCAGGAGGACATAGTCGTCCATCAGGCAAGCAAACCTGTCCCACAAGGTTGCCAATTCAGGCGGAGCACGCAAGGAATCGGGAAAATCTTGCACGTCAGACAGGACAGCCCGGAAGTCCCGCTCCAGATCCGACAGCTGCTCGCGCCAGCGAGGCCCAAGGAGTCTCGGCACGAGGTTACGAAAAGAGCGACCCCCAGCGTCCAGCCGCTGCAGACGAACATCCGTATACACAAGGATCTGGTCATCGGAGCTGGAACTGCAAGTAGTTGCCAGCAAGTTTGCCACCAGGCCAAGAAGAAGGAAGCCGTCCTCGTCTTCTACGTGCCACAGCGCAGCCAGATTTCCGGCAGCGAGTGCTGCGTGCAAACACACGCGCGCACGCACATACGCACGCACGCGCGCACGCACGCATACACGCACGCACGCAACACCAACTCTGGAGCAACCACTCCACTGGCGCCCCTGCGTGTCGGCTCGCTTTGCTTGTCTTTGGTCACTTTCCATCATGCTTTCAGGCCACCCGTGGTTCTAGTTGTTTACTTGGGCCCCGAAACTTTTGCAACGCAACTTATTCCAGCTTTGCTCCGGTGTCCTTGCTACACTTATTGCCGTTTTCTTCCTCCAGCATGTGTAGTTTCCATCGCAACTCTTTTCAATGGAGGTGTCGGAAGAACTCGTGCTGAGTTTCGCTGCCACACTGCGCACCGCATTGGAAGCGAGCCACCCGGACCCGGTTGCTCGCTGTGTGTTTGTGCAAATGACCTTGGCCAGAATATGTGTGTGTATATAATGTACTATATATATAAATATGTGTTTGGGTGTGCGTGTGGGTGTGCGCGTGCGTGTTGGACAAACAAAAACGGAAAAAATCCGGGGGGACCCCCCTGAAGATCTTTCATTTATAAAAGGGATGCAAGGTCTCTGCGCGCAGCGCCGGCCGCAACATGGCCAATCCTCGCAGAGGGTGTCTCGTGCAAGTTGGCTCGTGCAAGTTGCCTCGTGCAAGTTGGCTCGTGCAAGTTGACTGTGCAAGTTGGCTCGTGCAAGTTGGCTGCGCAAGCTGGCTCGTGTAAGTTGGCTCGTGCATGTTGGCTGTGCAAGTTTGGCTGTGTGATAAGGCTGCGACTTTACCGGAAGAACCCTTCGCAATGCATGAGGCTCAATCCAAGCAGGTCATAACAATTCCTCGCTGTAAGGGGATGCTCAGCGGACGGATAGACAAACGAGCGAACAACGAACGAACGCACGAACCAAAGAAGAAAGCGAACAAACAAGTAAACCAACCAACAAGCAAGCGAGGGAACGAATGAACCGACAAACGCACATGCGACGTGATGTGACGTGACAACGTGACGTAAAGTGACGCGACGTAAAGGTGACGTGACATGGTGACGGAACGTGACGCGACGCGAGGCGGCGCGACATGACGTGATAACGTGACGTAGCGTGACGTGACGTGACGTGACGTGACGTGGCGGCGTGTCGTGACGTGGTAACGCGACGTGGCGTGGCGTGACGTGACGTGACGCGACGTGACGCGGACGCGGTCGGACGCCTTCGCCGCGGTCCCCGGAGGAAAAAACCGTTCTGTCAAGGCGCGATGGTGACGTGACGCGACGGTGACGTGACGCGACGGCGACGGTGACGTGACGTGACGGTGACGCGACGGTGACGATGACGGTGACGTGACGTCCCCGCCGCGCTACCGGCGTCTCCAGGGCGGACCGTTATGGGTTGTTCTGTCTGAGCCTGGCTCTACAGTCCTGCTGGCCTGCCTCCTTGAGATGCCACTTAGCAAATATTGAATCAATTGTTTGCAGCTCCGGCTGGAAATCGCAACTTTTAAGTACGAAAGTAGTACGCGAAGTACACTTGCGCAGCTCCGGCTGGAAAATCGTAACTTTAAAGTTCGAAAGCATTACGCGACGTAAACTTTCGCAGCTCCGGCTGGAAAACCGCAACTTTTGAGTACCAAAGTAGCACGCGAAGTAAACTTTCGCAGCTCCGGCTGGAAAATCGCAACTTTTAAGTACGAAAGTGTTTCGCGAATAGAGGAAACTTGTTCCGAGCAACTTGCTGAGAGAACTTGCTTGGAGAACTTGCTCAGAGGAATCGCGCCGACCACTTGCTCAGAGCAACTTGCACAGAGAACTTGCTTGGAGAACTTGCTCAGAGGAACTCGCGCCAACAACTTGCTCAGAGCAACTTGCACAGAGAACTTGCTCAGAGGAACTCGCGCCAACAACTTGCTCAGAGCAACTTGCACAGAGAACTTGCTTGAAGAACTTGCTCAGAGGAACTCGCGCCAACAACTTGCTCAGATGCGCAACTGCACGGAGAACTTGCTAGGATTGCCAGGAGAACTTGCCGCCGCTGCTAATGCTTTCGGGCCACCCATCTTCTAGTTTTCATTCTCTTGGTATTAATCAAATGAAAAGACCAGATAAGGCGCTCATGGTTTAAAGTCTCAGGTGACCAGCGCAATGATGCCATGAACCGTCATAATGCGAACTTCCCGATGAGCTGTGCCCAGCGTCAGGAGTCACCAGTCGACGAAGCCATGGCTTCGCACTTGATACAAAGCCCCAGGCCGAGTTTCTTCTGGATTGCTCGGCGCTCATGCCAAAATGGCGACGGAGCATAAATCAAAAAAACAGCACGGCGATCCAAAGTGCCTCATGCAGCACAGACTGATGTGATTGACACTCCTGGCCCAGCCAAACCACCCAATGCCATGAGTACAGATTCAAGAACCAAGGCCAAACTTTTCCAAGGAATCTTGAATCCAGACCCCAATTTAAAACGATTTAAACCGATATAAACCTAAATCGGGCCTGGATTCAAGATTCAAGATTCCCTGGAAAAGTGTGGCCTGGATTCTTGAATTTTGAATCTTGAATCCATACCCAATTTAAGCTTAAATCGGGTTAAATTTAAATCGAGGCCTGGATTCAGGATTCGCTGGAAAAGCTTGGCCTGGAGTCTTGAATCTTGAAGCTTAAATCCAGGCCCGATTTGAATTCAAATCGGTCTAAATCGGTTTAAATCGAGACCCAAATTCAACATTGGACTTTGCACGGCTGTGCTTTGGCACAGTGTTGTGCAAGCATCCAAGTCCTGATTATTCATTCAATCTGCTTCAATGTGCTTCAATCTAGGCACCAAATTCAAGATTGCAGGCCAAACTTGTCTAGGGGATCTTGAATCCAGGCTCGACTGAAGTTTCAGTCGGTTTCAATCAGTTTCACTCGGGCCTGGACTCGGGTTTGCAGAGTAGACTTATCTAGAGAATATTGAACCTTGAGACTTTAACACAGGCTTGGATTATTTCCTTATCAAATTATGTTAAAGCTTTGTTTGATTTGCAAGAATATATTGGGAAATGAAGTCTATTCAAATTCTCAATTTCAGATATAATTCCCAGTAGGATTCTGAACAAGTATTTCGGTATTGAGTCCCAATTAAATCCTATTCAAAATTTAGAGAGCGGTCGTTGGTGGAGACGTGAATTGAGTATGAAAAGCGCTGTGTGTTGTGACGTTTTCTGACCATGGTAGTCCTAGGACCAGCTAATCACGCAAGTTTGGGACCTTTTTAATTCTTCCCCTACGAATTCTACTCAATAATATGTTTATCAAATTCGACTCAATGTTTAATTGAAATTAAAGAAATTGAGAAGGAACTACTCCAGTCAGGATTTCGATTTAAACCAAAACTTCACTATTGATTGTTCTATGACAAAATTTCATGGTCCACAAGAATTCCTTTCCAATAGAACATTGTACGTGAAATTCAAACACTATAAGAACTAGAGTCGAATGGTCTAGTCCTAGTTTGGTCCGAGTCCTAGTTGGGAGATCCTCAGTTCTAGGCCTAGTATGGTCCAGGCTTACTGGAACAATTGGAAAGTATAAAGGACATTAACATTACAAAGGAAGTTCCTTATGAATTGTATTTAAAATCTTTATCAAGTTCTCTGTAACTGCTAACTGAGCAGTAGAATGTAAAATAAGGAACAACTAAGAAGTAGAGTTAAATAGTCTAGTTTTAGTTTGGTCCCAGTTGAGAGATGCTTGGTTCTAGTGCTAGGTTGCTCTTAGTTTTCTGAAATATGTTTACTATAAAGGACATTACATAGGAAGTTATACTTGAAATGTTCATTAAAATACGAATCCGAGGTGGATCGTCTAGTCCTGATTTGGTCCTAGTCCTAGTTGAGAGATCCTTGGTTCTAGTCTTATCCGGCCCTAGTCCTAGTAAGTTCCAGTCCTGAATGGGCAAATCATGCACTGAAGAGGCAACGAAAGGTAGGGTCCCAGGGAGGGGGTAGCATACACATATATATATATATGTGCAAATACACAAATATATATATATATATATATATGTGTGCCAGCAAGCAGTTGGGCAGGCAACATGATGAGCTGGATTAAGAATCTTGCTCGGTAAAGAGATGTTGATTGGGTCTGGGTACAGTGGCTATGCGCCACAGACACGTTCGCAATCCATTGGTCCTTGTATTTTAAGGATTGGTCCAGCCAGGACTGGGGTACGAGGTTCAAGTGGGAGCTCAAATCCAAGCAAGAACTGTCCTTGAAGTCTTGAAACTTCAGAGGAAACAACTAAGCTGCGGGCGTACCCATGACACAATCCACAGGATGATCAGTGTGGCAAACCTGAAGCCATATGTTTGCTAAGTGGCCAGTTTGCTAAGTGGTTCGATGCCATACCTCAGTGCGGGACTGCAGGGCGTGGAGAACCAAGCAGTGGGTGGCACGGACGAATCCTTGTACAGCGAGCTGGTCATGAGAATTGCGTTCAATTGTGAGCCCTGTGGTGTGCACACAAAAAAACGAAAAGTGGAGATTTTGGAGTTGATCTCCAATAAAATTCAAAGACAGAATATCTGAACAGGTGCCAGCGGATGACCACTCGCTGTCAGACCGATTCCAAGACAGCGCTGCGCTTTGCTCTTGCTTGTGATACTCACTAACTGGTTGTTAGCGCCAGTTTGCATATTGCTGCACCACCTCTGGGAAGCGAACAATTTCAGAGGACCACGGCACCATAATCCATGTCCAAGCCCATAGTGCAAGACCTCAGCTCCATGCGGCGGATTCCATCAGCGGGCCGTGTCCTAAGCCTTGCACCGCTCGGGATCGTTCCTGCATTCCTCAAAGGCGAATTGCTAGTCTGCTAGCAAGATCGTGGCTCAAAACATCAAGTCAAAGACCCAACACCAAACTCATTCTAGAATCACCACCGGGGAACAGACTATTCATACTTGTGCCAAGCTGTGTTATCGACTCCCAAACTTTGCTTGCCGACGGGGCTCCATCACATTCTGCAGAGCAAGGGCCCCAAGCGCTCCACCTCTAGTGAAAAATATGAGATGGGTCCAATACATCCGTGACGCAGTGCCAAGGGCTGCACTCTCCGAACTCACAGTCCCTTTCAGGGACCTGGCACAAATCTTGGGAATTGAACCTGTGACGAAACAAGCAACCAGGCAACGCTTTCCGGCTGGAAGCTGGCTCTGCTGGGATCATTCATTGCATCTCCAAGGCGCAAAATTACGCATTGCATGTCCCTGTTGCGAAATGACACGCCGGGGAGACGCAGGGCGTGCTTACTTCGCATATCCGGGTCTCTGTGCTCTTTCCCGGTGGGAAATTGCCTGACACCCACAATGCGTAGCCTCTGGCTTATTTAAATGGCCTTTAAATGTCTCTCTGTCTCTCTGTCTCTGTCTCTCTCTCTTTCTCTCTCTGTTCGTCTCTCTGGCTCTCTGTCTCTCTGTCACTCTGTCTCTCTGTCTCTCTGTCTGTCTGTCTCTCTGTCTCGCTGTCTCTGTCTCTGTGTCTCTTTGTCTCTCTGTCTCTCTGTCTCTCTGTCTCTCTGTCTCTGTGTCTCTCTGTCTCTCTGTCTGTCTGTCGCTCTGTCTCTCGGTTCTCTTTCTCTTTTTCTGTTTGTCTAAATCTGTCTCTCTCTCTCTCTCTGTCTCGCTGTCTCTCTGTCTCTCTCTAGCTACAGCTGGCAATGCAGAGGCATCCAGGGCAGGTACCGCATTCGTTGGCCGACTGAGTGACTTGGCGCCTAGCTTGGGAATGAAGCAACATGAAAGAAGCACAATGCATGAACTTAGATAAGGGCGTTCGGAACGTTGTACCTCTGTCGCAGGACACAGAGCATGGTGACCAGTCCTTGGCAGCAAAGCACAACAAAGCATCCCACAAAGGCATGGATCTTGGCGCCAAGCTGACCAGTGACTCCAAAGCCCGTCTGTGCACTCGGAGTGCGAGCACCTCTGCTTGAAGCCACAAGGGTGTGCAGTCCCGGCAGAAATGGATAGGCTCACATCTGCCGGGGAACTTTTGCGTGTTGCAAGGTTCAATGCTTTCCTTGATCTCAGCATCACATTGCCTTGGTTGCAGAACCGGCTTGGCAAGTCAACCAAACATCGCAACTACTTGCCTCGCCTGCCGTTCTTGTTTGGCACCTGAGACACTTACAGATCTGAAGTCAACGCTTGCCATCATCACTGAAGGGGCTCTTCAGTACAGTACGAAATTGCCAGCCAACACATTGTACGGATGATGGTGAATAGATCGTTGTGAAACACCTGCAAAAACGCAATGTGTTAGCATCCACAAAATTCTCCAATGTTGTGTCAAGGAGTTTTGGAGCCAAAATTGGTCTACTACAAGTTGCTGCCTGCTTTCTCCTGGTGTCAGCTGCTATCTTTTGAAGCTCCGGACCTGTTCAAAGCTTGCAAGTTGGCATTTAGGGCATCTGATGGCGCTGCGAAGTGGGACCTTCACTGCGTGGGGCCTTCACTGTCTAAGTAGCATCCATCTAAGCACGTGTCGTTTTAATTAAAACGTGCGGTGAAGTCCAGTTGGGCCGGTTTGTTGTTTCTAAGCATGTCTCCTATGCTTGCTATGTTTGATAGTTGCATGTTCTCTGCCATGGTGTGTGGGATTTGGGAGAAGTTAGAGGAGTTGTTATTGCCCGCGGAAAATCGGCGATCTTGGAGACTTACGCAACTTAGGAAGAGACCATTGTGACTACTGCATACCTTTGACTACTGCCATGCCATGATGAATGTGTATCCTGCTCACAGTTTGTGCTTTTCATGCTAGACATTTATGATTTCGCCTCAGCGGGCATGCTCCAGCGCTAATGCTTTGTTATGTATGCTGAACAGGGCCACCGCAGTCTCTCACAAGAAAAGGATGTGAGAAACAGTCAGTACTCATTGTGGCCCCCGACTGGCATTGGAATTTGGTGTCAAAAGCGCTTCTGACAGGTAATTTGGTACCTTTTCCTGCAAAAGGGGAGGCGCACGGGAAGGGTGTGCTTGGGAAGGGTGTGCTTGGTGTTCGGATTCCAGAGCAAAAGCTGCGATCTGCAGCCAGTGGGTCAAGGCTTTGGATTTGGGAGTGTTCTTCGGTAGTTCTCAGCGCGTAGTCTCGGGCTCAAGCAATCCAAGTGCAGCAGGAATAGCGTTCATTTAAGCAGTACCGGAGGTGATGCTGGGGATGTTGCTGCTGCATCTTTAGGGTTCAAAAGTGGCGTTCCAGTTCTTGCGCGCAACACAGGGCACGTGTTCGGCCTCAAACCTGCCAACATTTAAGCAGTTTGTTGTAGCTTGATTGTGTTTCTTGGTCAACATTTGGCAATAGCTTAGGGTTCGATTCACCGTGGTCCGTCTCGCTTATTGGTTTCAAAAGTGGTGTTAAGCCCTGTTCATGCCTCGTGGGACGGGTTTTCGGGCTCAAACCTGCCTTGTCAATCAACTAGAACATCACTACGTAAAGCATAAAACAGGAAGGCCTGCATAGTATTCCGTCAGTCTAAAAGAGATGAACTGAAAATGTCAAGCTTCATCCAACGACAATACAGAGAAAATGCATGCTCACACATTTAGAGGGCAGTTCCACAATCTTGATACGAGGCAACAAAAATTAGGTTTGGTGCGAAACCCAAAATACACGAGACTTAGCTCTCATGTTGATGAATCGTGCACAAACTGCAGCCCCTTTTTTGGGGCCAGCATTGTTGGGCAAAGATCAGGGAAGCGCACAAGAACAGTGTTGTTTGGATGAAGAGAGCGGACACGGCATAAACTTTGATTTCGAAACGTGACTCCGGAATACGCACGTGTATGAGTGTATTTCTTGCAGACTAACATAATTTACATGCAACATCATAAGGAAGTTTGAGAATAACTTTTGTTGTACTCGAACCCACCACAAGCATCTTTTTGGGGATGTCTGCCGCTGCCTTCAGGGTTGAGGTTTAGGGTTGTTGGGGTTTAGGTTTAGGGTTTTTAGGGTTTAGGTTTAGGGTTTTTAGGGTTTAGGTTTAGGGTTTTTAGGGATTGGGGTTTAGGGTTTAAACCCAAGACAGGGTGCTCCAAATCCAAGTTTCGACCCCCAAGTTTTTGAGGGAGTTCACCACACGAAGGTCTACAAGCTCCCACGCCTGCCACGTTTTTTTAGGGTCGGGGCGGGGGCGGTCGCCGACGTCGCGGGCAAGCGGGATGTTTTGGCCGTACTCGAACTAATGTGCTGTTGTTTGAGGAATATGATCACTGCACGGCGCTCTTCTTGTACTTTCACTTTCGTGGGGGAAAGAGAGGGGGAGAGAGACAAAGACAAGGACAAAGACAAGGACAAAGACCATCATCAGCAAGTATGCAAGTGTGATGGTCGCAACAGGTCCCACACCGTCTGAATGTGACGCTTTCGAGAGCGAAATCCACCATCCTTGGTGTCACACGCACTCACACCCCTGAATGTGTCTGACTTGGCAAGGCTTCTGGCACAGGAACGGGAGCAGTAACTCCAACTAGACCATCCACCCCACGCCTCATCACAACTTTGGAACGTATGAGCGATGGCGGGGAGCTCCAAGCAAACCAGAAAATTTGTAGGCAACCGCACGCAATCTCTAGCTTCGCACTCCACTGCATTGACGCACTCCTGCGCAACAGGGAATTTAAACAAGCTGTCAGCAATCAATCCATGGCTTGCCTGGACCTCACCCAGCATGTCATAGCAACCATGTCCGTCAACCCCGCGGAGACTGAGAATCTCTCGACCTCAGGCAACTTGCAAGAATCCCACTACCAGAAAATTGCAATATCCGCCCTTTCTCACTTGCCGCAGTGCTCGGGTGCCAACTGCGTGTCTTTTGGCCAACGCCACAAGTTGCCGAGCAAAAGCCCCAATGCGTCCAATCTGGCACTCAAGCTCTCACACACAATACATGTACAAAGTAGCACGGCTACTCACACCTGAAAGTACACAGTCATGTCCGCTGCACGACTGGCTGTTGCAGCCTAGCAGGGGAGGTAAACGGGCCAAAACATCATATCGTGACGAAACACAAAGACTGCAGCTGATAGGTGTGTCAACCAAATCGTTCTCAGCCACTTGTTCTGATTGGTTTGCTGTAAGAGTTGTTTGGCGTTCAATGCTCTAATCATGTGTGATTCACATTTCCAACATAGGTTGCACAAGGTGCAATATGCGTTGAACCGACCCACTGCCTTTGGTCTCCATGAGGATATGCGGACCTGAATAAGTCAAATGCACTGCATCTGGCCGAAGAATTGGAAGCAACTGAGCAGGAAACATGGATTGCCGCCGTCAGAAGGATAACGATGCACCTCATGTTGGGTCTCATGCTGTTATTGAAAGAAATATAAAGCCTGGCAAGCAAGATTACCGAAACACAAGCGAAAGAAGCATATTATGTGTGTGTGTGTGTGCGCCCCAAAGCCAAGCAGGTGCCTTGCAGCCGGCAGCGGACACGATACTGAGGCAGGCTGCATGTACTCATGCGCATGTCCGCTACCGTTCATCCCGATACGGCAGTGGAACCGGTAGAACACACACACAGAAAGCCTCCCAAAGGCAAAACTGATCGAAACCAGCAGCATGCCATGGCTGCACGTGTTGTCGAAACCTGCTAGGAACCGGTCAAACTCCCCTTCCAGACCTGTCACATCCCTACTGAAAACAGGTCCAACTCCGGCCCAGGGAGTGACGACTGTGCAATGCGTAGTGTCTCTTTGCCGGAGCATTTGCAATTCACCGATGCGGAACTGAAGCATTTTCTGCTGAAGGCAACTGCATTGTCTATCTTTCAGTTGGACTGGATGGCTCCCATTACGGGCAACCTGGCACTGCATACATCTCGACTCAGCGGGTTGTTGGCACCCCTTCACTTGCCACAAGAATGGTCGGATTCCAGATTGTAGGTACTTCCCTGTCCAGACTGCACGGCACGCTTCGGCTTTTGTGCTTGCTACGGCGAACCTTAAGTGCTTAAAAACCTTTCCTGGTTGCCTGCCGCAACCAGGCATGCATGTAACTAGTATGTATGGCATCCGACAGCGGATGCAGCAGAACAGCGTGCTCCACGGGCCGCGCTCCGGCGCGACGAGTGACAGAACTAGATTGAGACAGAGAAAAGGAGTTCTAAGAATGGTTCAGACATGCTTTCAAAACAGCCCTGTCAAATCTCACAAAAAGAACTGGGCAGGCATTGGCTGGTATTTTGGCACCATGGGAGGAGATTCACGTTGGCCTGGAATCTGGAGCTACCCACAGCTTGAATGTGGGTGTGTTGTCCATAGGAACTCAATAAGCAATCCAACAGTGGTATCAAGGACTTCTTGAAAAAAAATAACTTTTAGTGGCAGCCCGTAAGTTGCCCTTAAATTTCTAAAATGACTACAATCATTATTCTCACAATCCAATCCGATAATCTCCGCGCTAAGCCCGGCGCCTCTCGGTGGCGATGCGACTGTCCACCATCACATGAGCGGTCGCAGTTGTCCTGTCATGGCGTCTTTGCAGGAGGGTCAGCTTTTTGTCCGGTCAGTACTTGCCAAGATTCGTGCCCTGGGAAGTGAACACATTGAAGTTGGCGCAAACAAGCCGGGCATCACCCACGCAGACCATGGTGACACAACGCAGTCAACTCGCTCACTGTCACACCTCCAGAAATGGGTCATGGTTGTGTTCTGCAATCATGAAAAGAGAATTGGACAATATAAGAAAGCCCTCTTGCGCCCCGCAAACAAACACAAGGAAACCCACTCACACACCCAGCACAGCGGCTCTATAAGAACTTTCTCTGAGATTCGTGCGATGCTGTGTCAGAGAGTGAACCCTCGCAGGGTTCTCCAAAAACCTGGCACCAGGCTTGCTGAATATGAAGATAGCTCAAGTCTGGCGTACTCATACTTCTGAGGGCCCAACCGAAGGCAGCTGCGTAATTCTGCGCTTTCGAGACATCTGTCCATCTAGTCCGCAATGAGACCACTCGGCCCAAGGCCTGCAGGCTCAACTCGCTGCAGCGACACTTCAGCTCGGGGTTAAGATGTAGGGCCGTGACGACCATTTGCAATCTTCCCTTCCTGATTCTCTGCAGTCCGGGTTTGCCTGAGTTGATGATGGCTTGCAATGGTTTCGCAATGGGCTCAGGCTCTGACTCCCAAGCAAAGGTCAACCTCAAAGAGTGGTCCGACCTGCGAGCTGGCGAACAAACAAATGCAGGTGTACACTGCAGCCTGTCCAAATTCTATCCTGGTTCATGTGAATTTCAGAAAACGTGATCGGCCGATGCCCACGTGAAATTCGGCCGACTGCAAGGAGAAATTTGGCCGACTGAAACTCGGCCAAAGCTTATGTCATGTGAATTTCGGCCGACGGCGATGTGAAGCTTGGCCGACGTAGTTGGGCCGACCGTCCCGACCGTCCGACCGTCTCGACCATCCCAAACCACCGTTGGGGAAAAACACCTCAAACCCTCAAATCAAAACAGCTCAAAAAAATTGGGCGTAACATTATTGGGAGTTGTAGCCACCCGAGGGCCATGCAAAACAAATGAATCACCAGCGCACCAACATCATCGCCCTGGCTGGCTAGCTGGCTGGCTGGCTGGGAGTTCGTTAGGTCCTTGGCTGCTCCACTTGGTCTCTTGGTTGCTTAGTTGACTGCGTGGTTCCTTCCTTGCGCTGTTCGGCAGAGTCTTGAATCGACTCGGAAAACAAAAAAAAAACAAAAAAAAAGCTCAGGTGACATCCCCAACAGCATGCGGTGCTCTGTTTAGTGCTCGCACCACCCTGCAGCCCTCGCAGAACCTCGTGGAACCCTCGTGGAACTGGTGGAACCCTGGTGCAACCCTCGTGGAACCCTCGTGGAACCTTACCTAAGGGGGGCCGCGGACCACCCCGGAGCCTATCTGGGCTGAGACCCCAAAGCTTTCTGCTGTTGGGGAATAAATATGCCCTGAGATGATGGATCCTTTTGGGGCACTCCTCGTCATGTTATGGGCCCAGTCAGTCATCAGCAGTCAACCGAGTCTATCAAAAACGAAGAAGGGAAAACGAAGAAGGGCTTTCCAACTTTTAATCCTTTAAGCAAAACCGACTATTTGGGTTGTAACCTGGTAAAGTTGTCAATGATATCTTGTTGGGCTGTTTTGCTGCTTTTGTGTGTGTGTGTGTGCGCCTGCTGACACAAGCTTTCGGCGGGATTATGCATGAAAAGCACTCATGGGTGACCCTAACGCCACAAAACACGTAGGCCTGTCTCCAAATCGGGGAACCCTCAACATGGCTGATTTGGCTGCCGTTTCGATCAGTCACCGGGAGTTGTCAAAAGCCCAGCCCCGTTTTGGACCTGGTGCCGCACCATTCAATCGATACAAAAAAACATCCCTAAATTTGACAAACCCCCACTCTCACAGGCCCACAGGGGAGCTTCGCTGGTGATGTTCTTGCAATTATCAACGAGCTCCAACAAACACATTGGCGGCGACATCTATCTGGGACACACACAAGCATTCAACATGTTGTCCTGGCAAACGACATCAATCCAACATACTTAAAGCCCTCCAAGTCAAACTGATAGGCTGCAATGCTGAGAAGACTGCGCATGACTCGCCCCCATGCCGGGCTTGCTGATCCACCTGAAGTGATGAGCACACGCATCACAATTAATCACGTTCGCGTTTTGTCAGCAACGGCAACGTCGGAAGCGTGCAAACATCTGTCGATCCCAGAGCATGGGGACACCTTCGAAAGAAACAGTTGGGCAGAACTCATCCAAGACGCTGCACGCTGCCGGGTGTGCCATCCAGTGACGCAGCCTTACACAATGGCAAATTTGAGAGCCGTATTCCCACCAAAAACATGGGCTGCCGGCGATCATTGTCCCGTGTATAACTGCGATTCTGAGGGTATGGCGGGTGCTGCAAGTGGACCAGCTGGACCATTGTCCGAGCACGCAGTTTTGAGGAATCTGGGCACAGGCCAGCTGCAAGCAGATATGTCCGTGAGGAAAAAAAGTCATGTTAAGTGAGAAAACAAAACAAAGAGCCTCGGAAACAGAACTGATGCGACCGTACACAGCAACTATGCCTTGGGACAGCCTTTTGTTTGCACCAGCTGTCCGGTGCATGGCCTGAGCAGCAGGCAATTCAAGCCACTGTGCCACGATTGCCATTCTGAGGTACAAACATTCCGCCATTCATTGGCATCTTTATGATTTCTCTTCTCCGGTCCATTTGCAGCCTTGCCCGATGCTCCACACCCTCCATGTGTCACCGACATGACTGACAAAGGCCTCAATGTGCCGCCCATTGCCATTGTCACCTCGCACCTTGGGCAGAGTCTACTCAGTCCTGCACCAGCGAGTACTTAGCAGAAAGAAAAACCTAGAAGACAACATGCCACATAACAAGGCTCTGCCCAGGTGACTGGCCCTTCCCAATCAGACCAAGGACCAAGTTCACAATCCTGATAGGCAAGCAGAATGGGCCCTAAGCGAAGCAGCCAAGAACAGGTGCGCACCTGCTCCTCCTGGCAAACCACCGGGCACTGCTTCGACTCCAATGTTGGGCCTTTGCAGAGTCAATATGCATGCCACCTCACGGGCTGACCCAATGTCCACAGTAGCCTGTGTCATGTTCCGTGCCTTGGCATCCACTTCCGCAATCGTTGTTGTGCTGGCTGATGACACGGTGACGCTCGCAAAGGCCTGGCAAAGATCTGAACCGAGGCCCTAGCACCAGCAAAAGAGCAACAGGCGCACCCAGGCAGGTGGGATCATGCCATGCGCTCCAGCTTGAAAACGTGCAATTCTGCGGGATGCACCTCAGAAAGTTGGTTCGAGTCCCAGCCATGGTTTACAAACAGCAACTGAGGTCACGGCGTCCGGCATGACTCTTTCAGCGGGCACTGCGTAACGTTTAGCTGCGTGCCAGCCTGCATTGACAAGAGGGAATGGATGGTCTCGCTCAAGCAGTGCGCACAGCTTCAGCTAGATCGTGAGCTTCGGACACAGGAGGACTCGTCCTCCACCATAAAGAAGGACCCCACTTGAAATGGCATAAGACCCAAGGCCTGAAGCTACATGCATGCTCATTACTGCTCATTGATCGGAAGTGTCATAGATCAATTCACAGCATGGTACATTGAGTGACAAGCTCTGTTGCGAGTCGTACTTGCGGTGCCACACTTGTCGCAAGATTCAGACCTAGTGCGGTTCAAGGCAAGCACTTCCCTGCGATCCAACAAAGTACCAGCTGAGGTTGCCACTCCGACCAGTCAGTCCAACTACAAAAGACTTCGTCTTCCTGGCACAACTTGCAGCTATGCCTTGCTCTAAACCAACGGAAAGCCAGTCCATCTTTCTTATGCAAGCTGCACACGTATTGAATATTCAACAGGTTTGAAGCGTTTGCTCTGTGTGGAGGCCATCGTATGCGTTGCTGTGCACCAATGCAATGGTACTTCCCCTTGCCATCACACCAACTAGAAGCCACTGAGTAAAGAAGGGGCAAGGTTACACTTCGGAAGCAGATTGGCGCCAACTCACCTAGCCCTCGAAAGGATGGCTGGCGTTTTAGCACTCTGCAAAGTCAGCTGCTTGTTACTTGCAGCACACGTGTCCTCCAGCTTTCTCAGCCACCTGAGGTTGGCTTGTGCCAGAATCCTTAAACATCCGCCGAGGCCCTTGGGCCGCAGACGATAAGATCAAGGGAGTGAAGCGAAGCGTTACGACACTGGTCTTGATCTGAAATGGCCCCCCGCCCTCGAGATGGGCGGATGCGCCAAATCAAAGACGAGATGAAGGTTAAAAGCTTTAGAGGCTGCTTTGATGTGCTGAAGGTTTAATTTCGAGAGCTGAACGTATTTGGTGTTGGCTTTATGCGTTTGCTGTTGTTGCATTTGCGTGTTTTGTTGCTCTATTTCAGGTACTGTAGCGTAGAGGTACGCTGCCCTACACGTTCCGCTACATTGTAGCGCAACACATGCCTTTGCAGCGTGCTACTTGCGGGGTCAGGCTCGAATCCGGCGGTGGCTCTTTACCGGATTATGCGGCAGCTGCTCAGAGTTGATTTTCCGCGCTACTTGCAACATCTTCAGCTCGCGTTGCGTGCAAGTTTGCTTTTCAGAAAGAAGCGGGCTTGTTCACGTCCTCAGATGAAGGGCAAATTGAAAGGAAATGAAGGGGCCACGATGAGGGAACTGAAGGGGAGTCCAGTGGCAACGCATGGGATTTGAAGGGGTAGTAAAGCGACAAAGGGGTGCAATGTTGGCGGACTGAGCGGGAGGCTCTAAAGTTTTGTTTGGCAAGTAGTGTTGATGCCAAAAATCATGCAAACACCACTGGAAAGAAAAAACAAAGAACATTTAAGCATATTATCCAAAAAGCAAGAAAGAGAGACATATACACGCATAAGCCAGAGAAGCTTTAAAAAATGATGGATGCAAAAATCGGACCCCTTAACATCCTCAGCCAATTCGCTTTGAGTCACTGGTCTTCCGACATCCGACAATCCTCAGGCCGCTCAAGGGGTCGAAAAATCTGACATTGCCTGCAATTGGCCCCGCGCAACATCCTTAGCAATGCCTGTTGGTGGTGCCTTCGCCCTTGTTTCAACTCGAGCGATTTGGGAGCTCCTTGTTGGCTTTCTCAAGCGATGCCTAGCATCGTCTGCATGGTGATTTGAAGCTGCCTTCAGGATAGAGCTGTTGCTCCAACCCCTGAGGTGTGCTTTCTGCTCAGAGCGCTCTGCTCATGTCCAACTTCATGGTAGTAAACTCGAGGGTACGTGCGAGGTTGCTCAGACTTACTTGGGCTTTCTTTGGGCTTGATTGGGCCTGTTGTTTTGGACTGTTTCGAGTTACTTGGTGCTGCTTGGGTTTGAGGGGATTTATTTATTCCCCAATCTTTTTCGGGCCCTCTTAAGCGTCTCACTTCTCACATTGTCGAGGTGTTAGTTGGCGTTGAACATCGGAAGTCAAGAAGCTGCACTTGCCCCTTTTCGAGGCCGAACTGATGACACTTCCCAAGACACACCAGGCTTACCTTCATAGCTTCGAAAATTGGAGCTAGCAGCTAATGCAGGAGAGGATTCATCTGCCAAGGCTCATGCGCTGTGTATCAACAGTGTGTGCTCTCGGCACTGGCGGCTATCCCTTGCAGAGTTTGATGATGGCTAGTCCACGAGAAAACGCTGCTGCCCATGTCAAGACTTGTCTTCAATCATGGCAGGTTGGCGCACTTGCTGTAGCAAGGTCCTGCTTCCCTTGCATCCATTGGCTCGCATGGCCTTGGCACCCCCAACAATGATGCCTTGAATGTGAAAAGAGCATACAATTGGGCCCAAGCTTTCCACAGTAGTTCGGCATTTGTTGAATGTTCCGGTATCGAAACCTGCCAAGCAGCCAGGTCCGGTGGCTAAATTGTTCAAGGACGAATTTGCCTTTGGCCGCCACACTTGGAGCAGCTTCCCCAATGTGTCCACTCCTAGTCACCATGGAGGGTTTGGATGGCCAAATCATCCAGTCTGAGGCTGTGGCACTCCACAGGCAATCATGGCAACCGGCTTCAGGACAATGCTCCCTAGGTGAAAAGGCCACGAACCGAATGTTGGCGCAGCAGACCGTAAGTCTAAGCACAAGGCTCGCTGCATGGCTCGAGTTCTGCAAGATCGCCACTGCAGGGCCTTGCAAAATGAAAGTATAAGAAAGGCATGCCACAAGGCTGCAAATGATTTGCTAAAGCTGCTCTTACAGCATGAGTCCCTTGCGTTCCACCATGGGCCGATTGCTGGACAATGTGTCGGGCTCGCTCTCGTTGTCCTCCTCCACATGTCGCCTGCTAGAGGCGGAGTCAGCTGAGTCATCCAAAACGTAAGAACGCAAATAATCATAGGCCAGCACGGTGCAGTCGCTCCAAGTATCCCAGATAGAGATCACCTGAAGCACGTCCAACAGGAAAATCAGAAGTTCGACACCAGGTCGTCTGGGGGGCCAAACACAATCTTGTTCACGCTTCATGTTTCCGCAATGCTCATCGCGTTCCTGCAATGTGGCGCGATGGCCCCATGCCATGATCGGTCTCAATCACCTCTCCAGGGCCGGGATTGCAAGGAATGATCTCTTTCACGGTGCCATTGCACGACCTGACCCAAGATTTGGCATCACGGCTGAAGAGCCCACACAGTTACGAACTGAGGCAGCTGCTTTCCGGATCCAGCTGCAAATTGCTCAATGACACGATTTCTTTCCTGAATGCCGAAACAGCTGCAGCTGCACTCCGACCTGGCACACAGCAAGAGCATGCAGCTACAGCTGCCCTTCTCAAGTTGTACACTCGAGGGGCGCGCCACTGATTCCATTCTCCCAACACACAATCCTGGTTGAAGTTGCAGGGCTGCAGGTTAGCGCACTC